TTCATATTTGGCCATTTGGCAGTATGCCAAAAGGTGTATTTGGTAAAATTGCTAGAATAAATATGAATCTCTCCATCCGTCTAGTCCCCCACGAAATAAAAATTTCACAAAACCATAATCATTTCTGCCATGTGCACCGTACCCTGGTCATTTCTGTTCTGTTTTATATTTTTGAAAGTCACTAAATTATTTTCATGATGGGCAGTTAAAAAATATTGAGACTCCCTGTCCTCTGGGGATAGTGACATCGTCCGGGCAGGGTCATTTTTGTACGCAGTGTTTTGGATCCACAAAGGATGAGACGAGGGTTTCCTAGTTAAGTTCTTTTCCCAGAAATGGAATTTAAGATGTCAGAGGCATGTGAACACTTCCAAAAAATGAATGAATGTCACTGCCAAAGAATTTTCTCTAGCCATCGTACCAGTTTACACACCCACTGATACCGTCTGAGAATTCCAGTTGTTCTATATCCTTCTGAACACTTAGCATTGCCAGTATTTTTTGTTTTAACTATCATAGTGGGTATGTAGTACTTGTCACAGCCATTTTATTTTTTTTAATTTTTAATTTTTTTAAAGATTATTTGAGAGAGAGAGAGAGCACAAGTGGGGGGCAGAGGCAGAGGGAGAAGCAGGCTCCCCGCTGAGCAGGGGGCCCAATGCGGGACTCGATCCCAGGACCCTGAGATCATGACCTGAGCCGAAGGCAGCTGTTTAACTGACCGAGCCACCCAGGTGCCCCTGTGATGGCCATTTTAAATGAAGTCCCTCTAAAATGTCTTGGGCCTTCCAGTGTTTTTAAGCAGAATGGAAATGAAGTGGACGATCTGTTGCAGATATGACTAAGTTTGGATATTTTGAATAGTCATTCCTTTTGCTGTTTATGGTATGTCCACCCATTAGAGCGAGCGGTCCTTTGGTAATGCTGTCACCGTGTCTCCCTCTACAAGCTTCTCTGTGCCTTCACCGACAGAGAATACTCTAGAAGCTGTACGCTCCAGGCCCTGCTAAGTGCAGTATCAGGGCCGCAGAACCGCATCTGTGCATACTCTGTTGGCAGACCTCAGAAAAGTCTCTTCCCCTTTGCCTGCACAGGACCCTGTCCCAGACCCCCTTCCCGCTATCTGCCTCGACTGCTGTGGACTAGGATTCCTTTACTGTCCTCGGGGTTGGCCTTCACTCCAGAGGCCAACGGTGTTTGGCTGATGACTAGCGTGCTCAGCCCTTCTCTGTGGCGGCAGGGTAGGCTTGCAGAGAAAAGGGAAGGGTGTGCCTGGCAAGGTGAAGAGCCCGCAAAGTGAAAAGCCAGCAGGGCCCAGCTGCGCTGGGGGGTGGTGGGGGGTTGGGGAATGGAATCTGCTTATCTTGCTGACAGCAGGAGGCCTGAAATCCTGAATACTATTCACGCAAGATTCCCTGAAAGCATGGGACAGAAGATTGGGCCCCTTCCCAGTCTTCATTCAGGGTGAATTCCAGGGTGATTTCAGGTAATGCATGCTTCTCAGTTCCACGTTCTCTCTTTGTCACATGTCACCAGACTTCCATGAGAAAATGGTCAAGGCGGAGGGAGCCCGGAGAAGACATCTGATTCAGCCTCCCTGCCCACCCAAGAACACCACAATTTTATGTTTGTGAATCTGCCTTCTTTTTTTTTTTTTTTTTAAAGATTTTATTTATTTATTTGAGAGAGAGAGAATGAGAGAGAGAGGGGGGAGGGTCAGAGGGAGAAGCAGACTCCCCGCCAAGCAGGGAGCCCGATGCGGGACTCGAGCCCAGGACTCCAGGATCATGACCTGAGCCAAAGGCAGTCGCTTAACCAACTGAGCCACCCAGGCGCCCCAATGAATCTGCCTTCTTTAAATATATTTGCAATTGATCAGTGCCTGCTCTTGATGATTCATGATGATGTTTACTAATATTTTTTTAGATGTTTGCGAGGACAATACGATAGAAACCCAGCGTACCCTGATTTCTTCCCTTTACTGCTCTGTACGAACCCATGCACCTACAGAACAGTTAAATTAAATATGATGTAAAGATGCTCAGTGAATTACCTACCATTAATTGTTATTCTCTTGAGAGACTATCCAGGGTTGGTAAGCTGTAATCATGAAAGTCATCTGTTTTTCATCTTTATGCAGTTCTTTCCTATCCCCTGGCTGTTTCTTTGGCATTCTTTCATTTCTGTTGGACTCAGGTTTGAGAATTGAATAAATTAAGGCCCAGAACTTTTATAATCTATGGATTCAAAGGGAGCCTCCCGAGGCTAATGTCCCAATATTAGCCAATAAATAGGATCGTGGAGGTGAAAGTGTTTCCTACAGCTTCGCACAGAGAGAGAATGTTCCCTCACGTAATAGCCTAAAAGAGTGGCCTGATGGTCAATGTGTAGTATAAGTCAAAATGCAAAGATATCTTCCACTTCCTTTGAGTTATGAACATTCTAAGTTGGACAGTCACAAAAGATACAGTTAAAAAAATCAGTGGCTTAGTCACACTCCCAAGTATTTATTTGTTTATTTTTAAACATTATTTATTTATTTATTTGAGAGAGAGAGAGAGAGAGAGAAGGAGCAGGGGGAAGCACAGGGAGGGGCAGAAGCAGGCTCCCCATTGCACAGGGAGCCCAATGTGGGGCTTGATCCTGGGACCCCGGGATCATGACCTGAGCCCAAGGCAGACGCTTCACTGATTGAGCCACCCAGGCGCCCCAAGTATGTTTGTTCATGTTCTTTAAGTTGTATTGAATTTTATCTAAGCTCATTAAGTTCCCACTGGATCTGGTTTCCACAATTAGCCATAGCCCATCTCATTGCCGCCATTCCCTCAAAGGGACAGGAAAGTTCTGCCATTATTGGTTTTGGTCGCTGGTGGACTGCTTCCTTGCATAACTTCTCTCTGGAAAGTTTGAAGTAATCGAGATAACTGATCTCCCCTCACTGAGAGACAGTCAGGTCAGCAGATATTTCTCCTGGCAGCTCTTCTTCCGTTTGGTATTTCCTTTCTCAGGACTGCGGGTGTGTGTAAAAAACATACTCCAGAAGAAAAAAGATTTCACATTTGCTTTTGCCTATTAGCCTCCCCCACTAGAAGAGCAGGGAAGAAGTGGCATTAGAACTCAGATTGCAAAAATAATGTCTGTTTTGCAAACATGCTTAGTAAGTCACAAGGGATCTGAGCAGGGGATTGACTGTATAGGGCATTTAGGAGAAAGAATGACTGCCAAGCCCACCTCCCCCAAGCCCCGCCGTCTGTCATGAAAGTGTCTCTACTATTTTCATTGATTATAAAAGTAATACATGCTGAACGTAATGCATATAAACAGTATTTGTAAAGTAGAAGGTGAAGTTCCCCATAGTCGGTGCTATTATTCAAGGGGTGTATATTGTCAACACAAACGGAATGGTACTTGGCATACTGCTCTGTAAGCTGCTTTTTTTTCACTGAATATTTTGCAGGGTCTTCGCTACATCAGTGTCTGCAGATCTGTCTGCAGCATTCTTAGGATGAATCAGAGTTGATTTGCATAATCCCTCTCAGTGGACATCGTGGTCATTTCCCGTTTTCTCATATTCTAAACCTACTTTGTTCCCTATGTAGCCACCAGCCTCGTGTGGTAATTTAACTTAATTAAAATCACATAATGTTTAAAAATCAGTTCGCAGTCGCTCGCCACATTTCAGGTGCCCGGTAGCTGTATGTGGCTAGCACAGAGGAAGAACCTTCCCAGCATCGTGTGAAGTTATATTGGACAGTGCTGTTCTAAACCGCTGGTTTTCAGTATTTGTGTTTATTTTCAAGTACATGTTTCTATTCCTTTATTCATCCATTCAACAAATGATCATGTTGCCAGGCACTGTGCTCGGGACTTGGATGTCTCACTCACAAAACATATAAGTACCTGTCCTCATAATGCTTAACTTTCTACCAGCAAAAGGTTTTGAGTATTCACTCCCAATAAATGTATGTGTACTACAAGGTGCATGTGTATCCTGTTCTGTTGTTAATATTACAACACATAATATATGGAACAAATTAAAATAGAAATGAAAAAGAATAAGATAAAAAAATTTAAGTAATTTCCAGAGTAGTCTTCCCGTGTCACACCTTGGAGACCACTGTTCTGAGTGATGCTCTTGTACTAGGCGGCTCTTTCTGAAGATTCTTGGCATGCTGTTACCTCATTTTAAACAGGTAGCCCTTCTATTTTGATACTCCTTCTAAATATTTATTTCATAAAAGACCTTTTTTTTTTTTCTATCTGTAGGCTCCTTCCTACAGTTTGAATTTGTTCTTTTACTTACATATTCATTTAGGAAGCGTTTATGAAGTTCTTACCGTATGCTAGGTGGATGCCGGGAAATGGAACAAGTCAGGGTTCCTGCTCTCAAATGAGACAGGTCAGCAGATCACTTATTCTAATACAGGGTGTTACGGAAATGCAGGAAAGGGGCATATAAAGAGAGAGATTCTTTGGGAGAATGGAGGACAGCTTTCATGACCTCCTCTTTGCTGAGTTACTGCACTCTGTTTTGGGACTCAATGCAGTCACGTTTCTCCAACAGATACTGTGTTTCTCCATGGTATTTTCTTTTGAAAAATACAAAATTCTAAATCATCGATTTAAGGATATTAAACCGCTGTTGACTTTCATTAAATATCTCTTTATGTTAAATGCTTACCTTTCGATTTTTAAACTTAGATCTTAGGGTTGGGAGGGCTCTGTATAGGACAGAGACGGAGTCCAAATAATTTTGTAGCTCCTGTTGTTTGAGAAGGGGAAACAAAATCATCCCCAGAGATGGTGTGTTGATTCATGCCTTCATTTAATAAATATTTATAAAATACCTTCTCTGTGGGAAAAAAAGCACTGAATGCCAAAATAAATTTCTCACATGGGCTTTTAGTTAGGGGATTCTAAAGAATATAATGGATGATACTATTTAGAGTAAACTTAAAATGAAAGAATTGATCATGTGCTGTTTATTCCCTCTCTTTTAGGGCAAGTTAAAGTGTTCCGAGCTCTTTACACATTTGAACCTAGAACTGTAAGTATTCAGTTTTTAACTTCAAAATTGGCATAAAAACCTAAGGTGATTTCATTCAGATACTTCCTCTGGCCTAAATGGCCTGCCTTTTCTCTGATAGCCGTAAGTGATTCACAGGAATGGATGGTCAGTCATTTCCATGCAGTCCACAGGTGTGAGAGCTAAGTCCCTCGGGTTGATCTGAAAGTGTTCCCCACCTTGAGGTCATGTAGTCCATCCTGTGCTGCTTTTTCCCCTAGGGTGACATCACCCACTTTTAAAAATCACCAGGTGACCCACACATGTAAAGCATGGGACCTTGTCTTAGTCATCCTTCCTGTGGGTCTCATGCTGACCTTCCTTGTTCTTCCTGTTGACCCTCTACTTCAGGCCACCTCATAAGGGCACCTTTTACCAACTATCTAGAGCAATTTTTTATGTTTCTGCTGTTTCTGGTGTCCATCCATCAATCCACCCATCCGTCCTTGGTTTAGTGAGCACTTACTATGTGCCAGACCCTGGCCCAGGCCTCGGGGATGGTGCCACATCAACAGAAAGGATGGCCTCATGGAGCTCCCATCCCAGTGGAGGGAGACAGACAGTAAGCAGACAAATGAACAGGACTATCAGGGCCTGATTGGTGCTATGAAGAAAAATAAGGAGGGTATGGGGCCAAAAGGTTCGTGGAGAAAAGAGTTATTTTCAGCAGGGTGTCCAGGGATGAGCTTTCTATAAAGGTGACATTCGTGTGGAGACCTGAGGGAAGGGAGAGAGCCAAGGGAACAGTGAGGAGCGTCTTTGGTGGGTTCTAGAAACAGCAGGGAAGACAGCAGCTTAGAAAGTTGTGAATAAAGGAGAGGGAGGGAGGAGATGGGTTCAGAGAGCTTGGGTGGAGAGGGAGGGCAGATCACGTAGGGCCTCATGGGGTAAGATGGAGGGTTTTGAGTCCAGGATTGATTAGATACGTTTTAGAAGAACCACTCTCGCTGAGGGAAACCATCCAGCAGAGCAAGGGTGGGAGCAGAACGCCCAGACGGTTAGGAGGCAGAGGAAAGAGACCGAGCAAGGAAACCTGCTCTCTTGACGTTCCCGTCTTACTTACTAGAGATGGGAGCCCTCGTGCTGGGGACAGCAGCTTGCCGCTGGCTTTGTCTGGGTTTGCCGTGTCCCCTGTCGTCCCCAGAGCCGAGCATCTCAGAGGGCAGCACAGAACCAGATGGCGCCGAGCGTTGACTCACTACCATCAGGCTGCGGCTGGCCCTCAAATTCCAAATCCGTGTGGCCGTCTGTGTCCTCATCAGGCATCCTGCAGAATTTGGCTGTGAGCGGGCAACGAGATGGATATTTGAAGGCTTGCACGCAGTGGGCGCCAGTAAACGGCAGCAGGGAATGCAGCTAATAGGGGGTGTGCTTGGGTTCCGATGAGTTTTCCCAAGACTTTATCATCACAGTGTTCCTGGAACAAGAGGGGTTGGGTGGGTAGAGGTAGGTCTCGGGTTTTTATTCTTCTTACCAGGACGTTTCAGCGGCATCACCCCTGTGTCGGAGGAGTGGGGAGTGAACGGGCGACGTGTCAGCTTGCTCCGGCTGCCAGAACAAGGTCCTGCAAGACTACGTGGCTTAACCGACAAAAATTTTTCTTAGAATTTTGGAGGCAAGGAGTCAGGTGGAGGTGTGGCCAGGGTTGGTTTCTTCCGAAGCCTCTCTCCTAGAGGATTGTGTTCTCCCTGTGTCCCCACGTGTGTTGTCTTTCCTCTGTGCTTGTCAGTTTCCCAGTCTGCTCTTCTTAAAAGGACACCGGTCATATATGGATTAGGGCTCACTCGAATGACCTAATTTTAATTTAACTACCTCTTTAAAGAATCTGTCTCCAAATACACTCAACATTCTGAGGTACTAAGGATTAGGACTTCAACATATGAATTGGGTAGTGGGTGGGACACAAAAAGGTAAGGAAGTATGAGCCCCAGAAGTTGTTGTCTTTGTCCCCTGCTCACAGGAAGGCTGTCATTTCATGCGTCTGATTGTCCTAATCAGTGGTTTCCTAGGTTGCAAGCCTCCCGAGGTTGACAGAAGTGGGGGTGGGGGGTGCTCATCAGCTGCCCTCCTGGGCTGGTCGGTGTATAATAGATCATTCTTTGCAGCCCCCCCTCACTCTAGGAAGGGACCTGAATGTACTCAGTTTGAGACCAGACATGACTCCTACCCACCCCACCCCCAGTATCCTGTTGGTCATCACCTTTGTCCTTCCTCACTGACCTCCTCCTCTTTTGGTTCTCGTGTGCTTTTTCTTGCTTCTGGCCCATGGACTCCAGCTTCTCCATTCCATCTGCATTCTTCTGCCTGATTGATTTTCCTACAGTGTAGCTTTGCTCCCATCATCTGCTTCACCTCTTTATTGAAGGGGATAGAGTCCCCTATGGTCCAACCTGTTTCTAGCCCTGCAGTCCTCTGCCCCTTTCCCTTCTTAGACCATCCCAGTCTAGATGCACAGTAGAGAGATACACAGTAGAACCCATCTCTGAACCCTTTCTACCCTCTCTAGGCTCTAATAACATACTTCCTTTTCCATAAAGACTTTCTGATTAACCCAGCTAAGAGGGGGTTGCCTTTTACACTTGGCATTTCTGTCCTGCTCCCCATAACTGTGTTTGGAGGGGGCAGAACACAGGGTTGTTCAGAGCTGGCCTTAGGTTTTAGGACCCACTCCGCCTCTTTAGCATCTATGTGACCTGGGAAATTCGGGAATTCCCTAACCTCTGCACCTCAGCGTGCTCCTCTTTCAAGTGAGAATAATAATCTCATAGGGTTTTAGTGCGAATTAGGTGAGATTAATTGTGTGAACCTGCTGTTACTGTTAGGAGGGGTAGTGGTTGCTGTATATATAGACATTTAGCAAATAGTTTTGGTGGGTTGACATATTATTTTAATTCACCTCCAGTTCTGCACCAGGATGGAATTTCACTACTGTTTTTTAAAAAAAATCATTGTTATTGGGGTGTCTGGGTGGCTCATCCGTTAAGCGTCTGCCTTCGGCTCAGGTCACGATCCCAGAGTCCTGGGATCGAGTCCCCGCATCGGGCTCCCTGCTCAGCGGGAAGCCTGCTTCTCCCTCTCCCTCTGCCCTTCCCCCCCTGCTCTTGCTCGCATTCTGTTTCTGTATCTCAAATAAATAAATAAAATCTTTAAAAAAATAATCTTAGTTATTATTGAATGTCCAGAAGAAAATAGATATTTAATTCATTAGTGTTCTTGAAGAGTCCATATTTAAAATGTTATTTTTTAATGTCCCTGCTCCCAAGGATCCTCGGCTGTGGAGCAGTGCTGCTAATTCATCCAGGATGTACCGGGTGCTCAGTAATGAGTATCCCACACCTGCTGCTCCCACACTCTGCCCCTTTCCACCTCCCCTCAGTCCAGATGTTAAAGGGGAGGTGGCTGGCTGGGCAAGTAGCCTCTAGCTCCCGGCCTTCCTTTCTTTTTTTTTTTTTTAAAGATTTTATTTATTTATTTGAGACAGAGAGAATGAGAGACAGAGACCATGAGAGGGAGGAGGGTCAGAGGGAGAAGCAGACTCCCTGCCGAGCAGGGAGCCCGATGCGGGACTCGATCCCGGGACTCCAGGATCATGACCTGAGCCGAAGGCAGTCGCTTAACCAACTGAGCCACCCAGGCGCCCCCGGCCTTCCTTTCTGCTTAAGTACCTGTGCTAGACCAGTGATTCAGTATTTTGAATCCCATCCCAGAGCTAGTTTAGTTTTACATTCTTTTTCTGAATAAGGATTTCTGTTGGATGATGCAGGAAGTTCAGTTTGTCTGTCTCTGTCATCTCCCTCAGCAACCACCCCTAGTGGGATGGATGCACTCTGGTACGTCCTGAACTGACCTGGCCTCCTCAAAGTCATTGGGACCAGGCAGGATGCAAGGGCTGAGCTGGCCTCTGCGGGACACTTGCTGACAAGTGCAGCACCCCAACGAGGCCTGGGTCCAGCTTTGACCTACTCTTCTGTCCTCAGGATAGGGACAGCAGTGCCCAGCTTCAGTCTTGGTGATCCACGGGACAGCTAGAACACTGGGCAGTTTGTCACTCCTGGTTCTTCCTGCCAACCCATTTCTCTTCTAGCTTGCTTGAAGGCCGGGGAGTCCTGGCGCCACTCATGCCTGTTTGGTTCTTAATTCTTGCCCAACCCCCAGTCCAATAAAGTCTCATACAGAGATCTGGCTGGACTGGATAGACCAGTGTCAAGACACACTGGGACAGAGGGAACAGCATTTTCTGTGTGCTGGTGGCGTGTCGATTTCTAAAGGGAAAGCAGCAGGACCCCGCTCTGTCATGTCACGTTTTCTGACATGACTAGGTTTATCGCACTCTGCGTAGAGGCAGGATCCCTAGAATGGGATCCCAAAAGCTGAAGTAGGAGCCCAGGCCTGCCACTTACTCACTGTGTGGTTTGTGGCAAGTTCTTCAACACCCCTCTGAGCCTGGTTATGAAATGGAGACGATACCCGTGTTTTAGCCCTGCCCCTCATGGGTCGTCCTGAGGATTGAACGAGGCTAAGCATGCTTTGCCAGTGTAAGGGGTTGGCTGTTGGTTTTGTTGTTCTGCCTCATGTAGGGATGGGGAGTAGGGGCGAACAACAGGCCACCACCTTTTAACCTGGCCATGATACCCTGATGACTAGTGATGGCTATGCATGACCCTTCCGCAAGAGAGAAAGCATAGATGCTGGTGAAGGTTCCGGACTCTTTAACTGTCGTGGTTCAAGTCTAGTGTCTGCCACACACCTGCTGTATGGCCTTGGACAAGCTTCTCATCCGCAGTGTGATGACAAGAGTAAAGCCCACCTCATGGGGTTGCTGGTGAGGGTTAAATTTGTTAATATTTGTAAGCGGCCAGACTAGTGCCTGGCTCTTCGTAGTCTTTTTTTTTTTTGAAGATTTTATTTATTTATTTGACAGAGAGAGAGATAGTGAGAGCGGGAACACAAGCAGGGGGAGTGGGAAAGGGAGAAGCAGGCTTCCTGCCGAGCAGGGAGCCCGATGTGGGACTCGACCCCAGGACCCTGGGATCATGACCTGAGCCGAAGGCAGACGCTTAACGACTGAGCCGCCCAGGCGCCCTCTTAGTAGTCTTATAAAGTGGTAAATAAAAACATCCATGGAAAATTTGATTTGTAAAAATCTTTTTATTAATTCTTGGGGTTCCAGGTTGACACATCTGGAAAGTTTCATAAGGATGTTATGGTCTCTAAAATTTTTTATAAAATATATATTTTCATAAACCAACAAAATGAATGCCTTTGGAATTATAGGTTACCAAGAATAAATGAAACAGGAATGAGAATATATATTACCAAGTTTGTACTCATCGCTCTAACATTGCAGTGGCCAGCAATTTGCTTGTCCTGATACCTTGTGGTTCTTCAAGAAGAGGGGCAAAGAGGAATGTGGTTGAAACCCAAGAACAAACTAGAAATAAAGTGCTTCCTTGATTGTGTCACTGTTTTCCCATTTCTGTTCCGTGCATGTGATGCCAGGAATTTAAAAGTAGACCCTCATCAAATCATTTACATTAAGTGCCCTGCAAGCAGTTTCTTAATGGAAAGTGTGAATATTTTAGGTAAAAATCTATATAAGTTTTAAAATCATGAAAATGACCTTCTTGTCTTTATTACTACCAATAGTGTGAAGAATTCGGTAGACCACGTCTGTAGCTAGGTTAGTAAGCACTGCCCCTGGTTCCTTTGGAAGAAGATATTTTATGGGGAGTAGCACTGTCTGTCTGGGAGCTATTGATTAAAAAGAGAATAAACTGTCCACTCTCCTTTCTCAGGGTGGAAAAATAGCGAGACCTTTTTTTTTCCCCTGACTGAAATCGACTGCCTGTTGTCCTTCCCTCAGTTGAAAAACAAGTCTCACCTAATAGGTGGCTTGTGGCATTCACCAGTGTTTGAACAATAGCCATTATTTTAAAAACTAAAGCAGCACTGAGAAGTATCGAAATGACTGTACTGAGTAACATTTTCCAAATGATGCATTTTACCAAACCGCAAAGCATAAGAATTACTTAAAAGACAATAAGAATTGTAACTGTTCTTGACTTTTTATTGCCTCTAAATTTAATTTTAATTTTATTTTTTATTGCCCTTTTAAAAATTGAGGTAAAAATTCACAAAGCATAAAATTAACCATTTTGAAGGGAACAGTTCAGAGGCATTTAGTATATTCACAGTGTTGTACAACCCTCACCTCTATCCAGTTCCAAAACATTTTCATCCTCTAAAAGAAAATCCTATAGCCATGAAGCACTTACTTTCCATTGTTCTGGGCTCTATACTTTTTTTTCCTATGAGAAGGACTCATCACAGGGATTTTTGTTTGTGTGCTTTTTTGAAGCTGTTTGTTCGATACTGTTTCAAAACATGCCTTTTTGGTTCAAGGGTGAATGAACTTACTATGTGTGGAAATTTAGGCAAACTTGACTTGTGATTTTTTTTTTTTTAAAGATTTTATTTATTTATTTGAGAGAGAGAGAATGAGAGAGAGCACATGAGAGGGGGGAGGGTCAGAGGGAGAAGCAGACTCCCTGCCGAGCAGGGAGCCCGATGCGGGACTCGATCCAGGGACTCCAGGATCATGACCTGAGCCCAAGGCAGTCGCTTAACCAACTGAGCCACCCAGGCGCCCTTGACTTGTGATTTTAAAAGGAGGCCAACACCATAGGTAGGGATGATCTTTAACTTCCACGAAAGCCCCTTGTTAGACATAAGTGGGCAGGTTTAGTTCTTGGAGAGGTACAGGGTAAGAATGCGCTTTGGATGGCTCCAAGACCAGAGAGATCTCTTCAAGACATTGCACTCTTTCGAAACTCCGAGAAACTCAAAGTCCCTCCAAGAAAAATGCTGTTTTCCTTACTTCCTTACGTTCTACTTCATTCTCTCCTCTTAACCCTTATTGCCATCTTAAGGAGAGACAGTCAAATGGTGTTGAAGTTGCCAGCGAAGGCTGACCTTCCTGTTACAGGGATGGCCACTGTGTCTAGCTGGGGTGCTGGGTGAGCAGTGCGTCCCCTTTCTGGCCTCTCTTGGAGCGGTCCAGTTTGCAGCAGGGAAATACTAAGAGAAATAGTTTGTTTACCTAATCACTTTCTATATCCATCACATATTGGTAGTCTCTTGGTCACAGATCATCAGAACATGATAGGAAAAGATTAGGGAAGAACTTAGAGGGCTTTACTGTTTTTGCCCTAAATGCCTATTTCTTTTTTTTTAAAGATTTTTATTTATTTTATTTATTTATTATTTATTTGAGAGAGAGAGAATTAGAGACAGAGAGCACGAGAGGGAAGAGGGCAGAGGGAGAAGCAGACCCCCTGCTGAGCAGGGAGCCCGATGTGGGACTCGATCCCGGGACTCCAGGATCATGACCTGAGCCGAAGGCAGTCGCTTAACCAACTGAGCCACCCAGGCGCCCTTAATGCCTATTTCTAATAATTGTAAAATCTATATCATCGAGTCTCCATAGGCTCAACTAATTTTGCATAGCTTGTGCTGTGTGTTAAGTCTAGACTCAGTAAATCAGTTGTAAATGCAGCAAATGCTTCAGGAAGTGCCTTTTAAAGGAACTCAGCCAGGGCGCCTGGGTGGTTCAGTCGGTTAAGTGTCTGCCTTCGGCTCAGGTCATGATCTCAGGGTCCTGGGATGAGTCCCACATCGGGCTCCCTGCTCATTGGGGAGTCTGTTTCTCCCTCTATCTCTGTGCCTCTCCCCGCTCATTCTCTCTCTCTCTCTCTCAAATAAATAAATAAAATCTTTTAAAAAATAAAGGAACTCAGCCATTTTTTAGTATCATTAATTATCATTTGGTAATTTTTATATTTGAATGCATAATGCACCTAAGTATTTATGTATGTGGTTGCTTAAAGGATGGTATACCTGATACAGTCTTCGTTTATATCCAGGAGGAAATAGTTATAATAATAATACAGATCAGCTTTGAAACTAAATAAGTTAGTAGTGCAGAGTCACATTTACCTCCCTGGTCTGTAACTGAGAGAGGAGATAAATGGAAAAATGAATGGATGAAATAATTTGTTTCACTAGCTTGAGTTTTATTTGTATGGAACAGCAACTATAATCAGAAATATCAAAGCCTGTTTAAAAAACATTTTTCCAACCAAAATTATGAAAGTAATACATGCTCATGATAGAAAATTTGGAAAAATGTTTCTATATATTTCATGCATAATTGTGATCTTATCCTGTGTGAAATTTTGTGCTTCACATTCTTCACTCAACATGACAACGTGAATATTTCCCAGGATCTGAAACTTGCTCGTAATAGGCATGGTCCTATATACCTACAAAGTCATGCTGGTAAGCATTAATGTAGTGATAGAAAAAAGATGCTTAATTAAAGCACCCGGCTATCTTCAGAGAGTTTGCAGGACATTTGGCTGGTACAACCTGGAGTGCATATTGTCTGTCTGTATCATCAGCTAACCCCTGAGAGCTGCTTATGGTCTGGACGTTCTGAGTTACTGCTACCCATTTTCCCGCTCTTTAGCCTTATTAATGGTTGAATTATGTATTAACTATCCTTATATATGAAATGTTCATTCTCTCTGATCATGAAAAGATAGGATAGTTGTTTTCTCAAAATAAGCAGGTAGTAGATGTTGACATGAAAGTATTTAAGGATTGAAGCCTAATCCTTTAGACAGGAGCCAAACTCCTGGCTGTTTTTCATGGTTTTAAACTCTAGACATTTATCCTTTTACAAAAAAATGTACATCACCTTTTAGAATTTTTACAAGAAAGTAGTTTTATTAATATTCTGTTTTGATAGAGAAATGCCTTGCTTTCATTGTGGAAGAATATAAGATGTGTGCGTAGGGGGGAGTTCTTATATGTTACGTATGTAACTCTTTGAAGTCCATAATGGGAAAAATTCAGCTTTCTAAACATAACGTTAGTTTGTCAGTAATGTTTCATTATGTGGTCTGTGTGCAGATTTAAGTATCTAAAAACCACATTGTCTGTAAGGTACTTTAGGATTTGAAATTCATATAATTATTAGCGTCATCATTATATTCTAATTCATGAAAAATCACACGAAGTCAAACTGTATATATTTTTTCTTTCAGCCAGATGAATTGTACTTTGAGGAAGGTGATATTATCTACATTACTGACATGGTAAGCTCAGCTAATATTTTGTAATCCTACATATGAACTAAAGATACATAAGGCTATTTTGTGTAGCTGTAACATTGTACAGTATTTAAATGTTTATCTGTATAGAAATACGTATGCCCAGTTTGTTCATTTTAGCACAATTTGTAATAATAGCATAAAATTAGAAGTAGCCCTTATGTCCACCTATAAGAAGATAGTTGAGTAAGTTTTGGTATAGCTACAAATAGAGTATTATGCATTTATAAAAAGGAATGAGGAATATCTCTAAATGCTATTATGGAGTAATTTAAGTGAAAAAATGCAAGGTAAAAAAAAGCGTGAACAGTATGCCTTATTTACCTAAGAGAGGTTATATGTATAACTGTTTTCTTCAGTTTAAAACAAAAAGTCAAAAGAGGAATCATCGAATAAAATTTTAAAAAATAGTTTCTTCTATGTGAGGGAAGGGAAATAGGGTAGAGGGAACATGGAATAAAGACTTTTAAAAAAATTACAGCTTGTTTTGGAGATCTGACTTTGGAGTCATGTAAACTTTTGCATAGTTATAAAATTAAATGGTAAAAAAGCAATCCCTGAAATTTAAAAGCAGAATGAATCAAATGAAATTAATTGTATCCCAGGTAATTGGCATAACCATACAGAAAGGAACTGTTCCAAGTGACCTTAAAACTCAGCAGTTAGACCGAACATCTCCAGTAGAATATACATGAAGGGTAAAAAGGACTGGCAAGAAAAATAACTGTAACCTGGTTTTAATTATCATCTTGTAGCAGAAGCCTTGGCATTGCTCTGCTGAGATTGTTGCATGTGTGTTATGGTTGAGAGCAAATGAGTCATTAGGTCAGTGATCCTGACAACTGGGATTTTCAGCCTGCAAGAAAAGATACACGGATGTAAGATCAATGAGGTTAAATAAAAACCCCATAGCTCTGCATCTGTATTGCAAGTATGTTGTATTTTATCTACAATAAAATAAAAACATGTCCTGCTCTGTCCTTTGAAAAGGCCTAGGAAAAAAAAATGAGCGACCCAATAATAATGTGTTATTTTGCACTCAAAGGAACAAGGCTCTGTTGAGAAATACATGTTACCAGGTTGGGGGCAGCAAAGGTACAAGATAATCTGAGAACACCGTGTTATTAGAAAGCAAGGAAGCCTCCAGAGACAACGAGGGTCACAGTAGAAAGACAGGACCGAAGCTGAAGAGGCTGCCACTAGTCAAAGATAGGACAATTTGAACAGTCAATTAGGGCAACACTCCCCAAGGATTGAAGCACATTTTCTATGTTTAAATCCATGAGCTGCCAATAATACTTCAAAAAACCCAAACATCATTCTTCACCCTGAGCGGATGCTAGGGAACCAACGTTTTATTCTGACAGCTTCAGTTAAGGAAAATAATGAGCATTGATTCTGCCTTTTCTCTATGAACTTCATCTCTGGGTAACCTGAGAGTTGATGAGGGAGAACTTTTCTTTAGAGAGATATTCTGATTGTTTAAGTGAAAAAGGAATGATAGAATGTCACCATTTTGCAGCCCCCAGGAAATAACGGAGAGACCACCAGACATTATGTGTCTCCTGATGGAAGAAATCAATACTACAATAGTCTTGCCCAGAAAACTGAATCTGAATCTAATTAAGCCTCTAGAACTAACAACTAATGTATAGGCAGTAGGGGGAACAGAGGAACACATTTTTGGTAACACAGATGCAACAGGCAAAATCTAGACTGTTTGAAACTCAGCAGAACAAATAAACTGGTTTCTTCAACAAATACACTAAGCAACAAGCGTATTATGAAGGAATGAAAAAAAATGGAGGGAAACCTATATACTAAAAGAGACCAAAGAGGCAAATCAGTCAGTCATATTGTGTGGCCCTTATTTGGATTCTAAATTGTGGGACAACTGGAAAATTTTAATAGTGGTCTAGATATTTGATGATATTAAGGAATTATTGAAATAAATTTTAAGTTATGATAATGGTTTTATGTCTTTGGAAAAAATCCTGATCTTTCAGAAATACATACTGAAATATGTACAGTGTCTACAGTTCATTTCAAGATAATCTGAAGGGGAGGGAGGTTGTGGGTTATATATATGAAACAGCTGGCCATGAGTAAATAATTTATGCAGGTGGGAGATGAGTTCATGTAGGTTCATTATCCTGTTTTTTCCTACTTTTTATAGCTTTGACTTTTTCTAAAATAAAGTTATCCCAAAAATGAAGCTAAAATAAAGAGATCTTTAGAAAAAAAAAATCTCCAGGATGCCTGGGTGGCTCAGTCGGTTAAGCGTCTGCCTTCAGCTCAGGTCATGATCCCGGGGTCCTGGGATCGAGCCCTGCGTCGGGCTCCTTGCTCAGCAGGGAGCTGCTTCTCCCTCTGCCTGCCACTTCCCCTGCTTGGGTTCTCTGTGTCTGACAAATAAAAGAAAATCTTTAAAAAGAAAAAAGAAATCTTCAAGCTAAGAGAAATTAGACTCTGGACAAAAAAATTCTATGGATAGTTTAAAATTCTGTGGATTGTTTTCTTCCGTTTCATAGGATCTCTGATGTGTGTGGTTGTTGAGGTTCTGTGATGAAGTGTATTGTGTGTGTGGCAGGCCAGTGTGGGTATATTTGTACTTTAATGATAGGGGGAACGGACATCCATAACGAGGGGGTGAGGAAACTTGATGGTTGTGACCAGGGCCGATGGACAGTCTGTAGAACAGGTGAAGTCCCTGAGCCAGATGGGTTTGTTTGTTCTTTTTTTTTTTTAAAGATTTTATTTATTTATTTGAGAGAGAGAGTGAGAGAGGCAGAATGAGCAGGGCAGGGGCAAAGGGAGAGGGAGAAGTAGGCTTTCTGCTGAGCAGGGAGCCTGATGTGGGACTCGATCCCAGGACCCTGGGATCAGGACCCGAGCAGAAGGCAGACACTTAACCGACTGAACCACCCAGGCGCCCTGAGCCAGATGGTTTTAAAAGTGATCGAACGTAAACTGGATTTGGTGCCACTTAATCTAACTCTTCTTTCACTAGAGTGATACCAATTGGTGGAAAGGTACCTCCAAAGGCAGGACTGGACTCATCCCAAGCAACTATGGTAAGCATGGCTGTGGTGGTTATTACTTTGTTTCTACTGTGTGGACTTTCAATTTCCTGGTTCCTGAAGCCTTTCTGCTTGCTGCCGGGGCTGAGAAATCAATGGAGTCATTGCCGGTATAGGACATTTTGTACTCCGTGAATCTCTCCGTAATAAAAGGGGAATGGGCATTGGAGGTACTTGAACTTGATTCTTTGGCTTAAGAAAATGCATTGTAGCACGCTTGATAGAACCCCAGGTTTCCAAAGAAATGCTTATGGCTTTCCTTTATCCAGCTCTTAGAATGTTTTTTTTTCTTTTCTTTTGCTGTTAAACCAAATCTCAGATGGTTTCTCAGCCTAGCCCTTTCTTTGGTGATGAAGTGACCTTGCCTTGTTAATTCACGTCTGGGGCAGTTATGTTCATTAAATGGGTATCCAGGCCGTTTGAGGAGCTTGAGTAGTGAGAGGTGGCCTCTGTCATGAAGCCACTTCTGGTTGGAAGAGGGACAAACAGACCAAGTACTTCTGTAGAGAACAGCAAAGTAGAGTAAAAAGAGCACAGGATTGGCAAACAGGGTTTTAATCCTTTTTCTTCCACTTCTTAATCACAAGGGACTTTAGTGAAGGCACTTAACCGCTGTCCCTGGGACTGTTTCCCCATCGGTGTAATAAGAGCTTGATTTCAGTCACTTCCAAAAATTCCTTTTGACGTCAGCATTAGATAAATCCCTAGACCAATGGGGCTGGCGTCAGGCACCAGTTCCAACCACCGGCACAGGACTTAGAAAATTGCAAGGAAGGGACTGCTGCAAAGTTCCTAGGAGAGCAAAGAGGGGGAGGGGAAGGGAGGGGGAAGTGAGAGCTGAGGTCTGGGGCCCCACGTAGGGGCCCCGCTTGCCCTGATCTAAAGGTGATGCCATTCTGGGTTAAAAAAAAGACTTGAAACATTTCTACGTTCCTCTAACCTTTGCACTCCATTTCTAGCCAGTCACAGACAGTGAGCATGTAAAATGTTCCCCTGTTGCTTTGCATCTCCAGTAGCCAAGGGAGTGTCCAGTCACAGCTCTTTATGGCGGGAGGGTTTGGGTCTGACATCTGTTTTGAACCGCAGTCTTCATGTGGTCACTCCTGCTGATTCTGGGACAGCAGAGAACACACCTTCCTCAGAGGCAGGTAGCGATGCTGCTTGCCCTCTGTAAATACAGGAAGCAAACCGTTTCCCCCTCGTGCGTGCCCCCCACGTGCACACACACAAGGGAAACAATTATTTTCAGCCGTCTTCAAAGTAGGGTGTTTTTGCAGAATGTAAAAATGAACACTGAATGTTTTCCTTCGCATTTTTGTGACTCAGTTTATGACATACTTGAGTATACTGGTATGCAGGGCACAGATCTCTTTGCTTCTGCTTATACTTCCAGTTAATTACTGTGTGTGGCTTTTGTTTATACTCCAGTTAATTGCTGTGGTGTTGCATTATTGCTTAGCTTGGTTTCATTTAGCAAATAATTCAGCTTCTTTTAAAGCAGGAAGCATCAGTTTGATTTTCTGCTGTTTTTTTTTAAATCCACACTAAAAGCGCTGCCGTGTGGTGGAAGGCCCTGGCACTCGGGAAGCCAGGGGACTGCGAAGTGGCTTCAGTGAGTCATTGGGGTGGCACTCTCAACATTGGCTTTGCTCTTTTTCTTTTCAATCTAGTGGCTGAGCAGGCAGAATCCATTGACAATCCATTGCATGAAGCCGCAAAAAGAGGTAGGTGTGATTGTTTTTGATTGAGATACCCAGGAGTAAAACACACAGATCTTAATTATATAGTTTGATGACTTTAGACAGGTGTATACACCTATGTCACCGACGTCCAGATCAAGATCTAGAACACTTCTCTCATCCCAGAAAGTTCCTGTTCCAGTTAAATCCCCGCCTCCCCCCAGAGGCGATCTCTGTTCTGCCTTCTCTCACCCTCGAGAGAGAAAATGTGATTAAAATGTTTTTTTTATTTCCTTAAGTAAGCTCTACACCCCAGTGTGGGGTTCGAACTCACAACCCCGAGATCAGGCATCACATGCTCTACCAGCTGAGCCGGCCAGGCACCCCTATGATTTTAAAATTTTAAATGTCAGCAGCCACCAGACACTTTTGAGTAGTTTACTTACCTTGTGCTCAGTGGCAGGTGGAAAGACATTGCCTGTGGCTCCCAGAGCTCGACCTCTGGCAAGGGGAGAGATGTGTGTAAGAGATCGTTACAAGGTGGTGTCAGAAAAACAACAATTGAAGTATGTTTAAGTCAAGCAGGTTATAGAGGCCACGACGAGTAACTAGACGGCAGGAGGGTGGAGGCCTCTTGTGGGACTAACGTGGGAGAGTGTTGTTATAGTGCAGGTGTGTGGGGTGAGGGTGAAGTTGGGGAGGGAGGGAGCGAAAGGGGTGGGCCTCGGACCTGGGACTTTATCCCATACATCAGTGGTTTCCCCCTCAAACCCTGGGATATTTGGCAATGCCTGACTGTTGACTTGGGGATGCTCCTGGCACCTTTTGGGTAGTAGATGCTGGGGACATAGCTACGGGACACAGGTCAGTCCCACAACAAAGAATTCTCCAGTCCCGCCATTGACAGGGCCGCTTTGAGAAGCCCTGCTATGGACATGGGGAGTTTTTATAAGGCCTCAAGGAGCTCTCTTTCATTCTATTCCAGATCTTTTTGAAACGTGAATGTAGAAAAGGAAATTATTTTTTTAGAATGGTGCATAGGTAGAACTACTAAGCTGACATTTAAAAAATCATTAGTACCTGAAACTAATATTACACTGTATGTTTGATAACTGGAATTTATTTATTTATTTATTTAAAGATTTTATTTATTTATTTGACAGAGAGAGACACAGTGAGAGAGGGAGCACAAGCAGGGGGAGTGGGAGAGGGAGAAGCAGGCTTCCCGCAGAGCAGGGAGCCTGATGCGGGACTCGATCCCAGGACCCTGGGATCATGACTTGAGCTGAAGGCAGACGCGTAACGACTGAGCCACCCAGGGGCCCCGATGACTGGAATTTAAGTAAAAGCTTGAAACTAAAGAACAAAGTGATTTGCAAATTAGTTATTTGGGGCATTCGCCAGAGGATTTTAAATTACTAGTTATATTGGGCGCCTGGGTGGCTCAGTTGGTTAAGCGACTGCCTTCGGCTCAGGTCATGATCCTGGAGTCCCGGGATCGAGTCCCGCATCGGGCTCCCTGCTCAGCAGGGAGTCTGCTTCTCCCTCTGACCCTCCTCCCTCTCATGCTCTCTGTCTCTCATTCTCTCTCAAATAAATAAATAAAATCTTTAAAAAAAAAAAATTAAAAAAATAAATTACTAGTTATATTTAACTGTGAGAGCAACAGCTCTGAGCAGGTTATTTTGTGTTTATTTCCTTATTTTCTTATCAGAACTGAAAGTACATTTTAATATGAAAATGAGTAGTATGTACTTGTTCTTAGGTTTGACTATTTTCCTCCAAGTTCTAGGATTTCACAAAGGAAAAAATTACATGTATGTATTTTTTAGAGTCAGACAACCATAAGTAGACTCATTTAGGCAACTCTTCCCATTAACCGACCATTAAAAATTGATGCACAGCCCCACAGAGCTTACTCGTATTTTGTCACTTACATCCATGTGGGTCAGCATGTGTGTGTGGCCAGTCAGTATGTACCATAGACTGAATGCTTGCATCCCCTCAAGATTCAGATGTTGAAACCTAACCCCAGTGCGGTGGCGTTTGGGGGTAGGGCCTTTGGTGGGCTCTTCCCTCGTGAATGGAACCAGTACCGGTGGAGACCCCGGGGAGCTCCCCTGCTCTTTCTGTCCAAGGGGTGGAAAGACAGTGTCCATGAACCAGGAAGCAGGCTCTTACCGGACACTGAATCTGCCGGCACCTTGACTCTGGACCTAGAACGGTGACAAATAATTTGTGCTGTTTAAGCCTTTCCTACCCTCCCGCAACCCCAAGTTGTTGTTAATGCTTTTCATTAATATAGTGGAAGCGAAAATGTACCATAATGAATGCATTACTGGGCAGGTCTTCATTTCAGACTTGCTGACGAATCCATTCTAGATGGGAATTTATGGAGGATGCAATGGATTCCAAAGCAAAGCAAAACAAAACACCAAACCCTTTTTCTCATGTTTTTATAAATGTGAAATTTTTTCAGGCAACTTGAGCTGGTTAAGAGAGTGTTTGGACAACCGAGTCGGCGTTAATGGTTTGGACAAAGCTGGAAGCACCGCCCTCTACTGGGCCTGCCACGGGGGGCATAAAGGTATGTCTTCTGTGTGTTGTCCTCAGAGTCCACATTCCTGACACGGTGCTCCATAGAGAGATGATGGATTTACAGAAATGAAAAAAGAGATGATTCTTTTCAAGTCCTTTAGAACATGGGCCAGAAGCCTTGTGAAGCAGTAGGCAGAATGCTCTCTTTGTGGACCTCTCTCACTTGAAAGACTGGAAACTTCCTTTCCTCTCCTGGGCTCAGAAAGGTGACAGGAAAACAATAGTCATGTAAAAACAAACCCCACAATCTAATCTTACAGAAGAAAGGGGCAGGAGTGACTCCTCCAGCTTAGCTTTTCCCAAGATACGCTTTCATGATGTACATTTTAAGTTGAATGCACGCTGTTCGATGTAGGAGAAAGACGGCATTTGCTTAAGTTAGTGATCGTTGGTAACCTTCTCAGTTATAATCCAGTTATAATCAATAATATGACAAGTGGAATTTCTAGATCTGTTTCAGCCTGACCAAATATCAGCCACACCCATTTACCTCTCCCTATGACATACACGCAAAACAGACACCACAATCAGAAGCAGAGCATCCAGCAGATTAAATAGCAGAGCCAAAGGAAAGTTTCTGGCCATTCCCCAAAAGGAAGCCGATCTTATTTTAGCTCATAAACACAGATTAGTTAAATGAATATAAAGGGCATAGCAAATGTAGAGAGTTCTACAGTGATTGCCCCGGGTCAAAATGCAAAAGCCAGATTATTTGGAAGCAACTTTTCCCTAGATAATTCTACTTTTTAGGTTCTTAAGTCTTGTACTTACATAAATTCAAAAAATTTTGTTACACGGATGTTCTTGAAGATTGTTCTGAAGAACCCTCTCTTTTAAAACTATTATGCCTAGTCTTGTCAGCCGTTTCCTTTTTATTCTTAAAGAATATCTTTCCTCTTTGAATTTCAGACATAGTGGAAATGCTGTTTACACAACCAAACATTGAACTGAACCAACAGGTAAGATCGTTTATGCGGAAGTCGGTGGTCATACCACACCTGCATTGTTCTGTAGGTGCAGCTTATGGGCATGCAAAGTCCTGTCTTTGTGCCTTGAAGTGACCTTTTCCCATTTAGTATCTTTCATACAATTTTTAATCAAAACACTACAAATAGTTAAAAAGTTTCTATTGTACTGAAGTCCAAATTGCATAAAGCCCAAAATGCCTACCGTACTCCTTCCTTCTCACTCACTCCTTTCGGCTCTTAGCTCTTTCCTCTCGCCTTCATGTTACTAAGGAAGATGCCTACAGAGCTGTCTCCTAAGTCATCATCTTCAGAAATGTTTCGGTGTCCTTTCTGAAGGTTCCAGCTTACCACTTCCCCCAGTCTCATCTGCCAGCTCCGAACCTTTGCTCCTCTGGTCCTCCCCCACATAGCCTATCAGAGTTTCCGGTTATGGTACTCTCCAGTGCTTACAAGTATTATGGCTATTTAAATATTGCTCACCTTTTGTGTCATTTTTGTTTCTGGACTTACTTTTATTTAGCTGGCTTTTGGTTTTTTATCTCGCTGGAGACTTCCACACTGTTTCATGTTCTCTTGACATACTTCTTCATAATGTAGAAGGTAACTGCTTTCTCCACCCCTCCCCCGCCCCCACCAGAATGGTACTGGTACTTCCCGAAGTCCTCATCCTCATTCTCTGATCTGAGCAGCTTTGTCTCTGCTGCCCTTTGCTCTCTTCCTGGGAAGCCTTACCTTCCCCTCCCTTCTATGGTGTGTCTTCACTTGTCTGCATCCTGTGGCTGCCATCCTGTTGTTGAAGAACATCTTCAAATAGATTCCTAAGAAAGGGGACCAAGGGATTGATGATGTGGCTGACAAAATTCAAGGCTGAAAATGATTTCCCTTAGAATTTTGCAGGCAGGACTCTAGGGTATTCAGTTTTTAGGATTGCTTTTGAGAGGTTTGATGCCATTTTGATTCCCGTTCTTTTGTGATCTGCTTTTTCTCTTGCTCAGAATTGTTACTCTGACCGTGGTGTTCTGAAATTTCACCACAATGTGCTTTAGAGTGGGTCTCTTCCCAGTAACGATGGTGGACTCTTCCAGCCTGGAAAAATATTGTCTGTTGTTTCTTTTCCAGTTTTTACTGACCATTGTCTTTGTTCTTTGGTTCTGGAATGCCCGTTCATAGTGAGGTAGGACCTCTTAACATTGAAGCTCCAGTTATTTTAGTTTTTCTCAGAGATTTTCTTACCTTTATGTTGGTTACCTTTTTAATTCCTTAATGTCCAGTGTAAGTTTTCTATTGCAGTGTAATAAAAAACCACAAACTCAGCAGCTTGAAACGACGTCGTTTGCCTTATACTTTCTGTAGATAGGCCGGAATTCTGGGTGCAGCCCAGCTGGGTTCTCTGCTGAGTCTCATGGGCTGGAATCAAGGGATTAGCTGGACTGGGTTCTCATCTGGAGCTCAGATCCTGTTCCAGGCTTACTCAGGTTTGTCAGGAGGATTGAGTTTCTTGCACCCGTCGTACTCTGGCCTGCAGCTTTCAGAGATCACCCCTCTTCATAGACATTTCGCAACATGGCTATTTGCTTTCTTCTTTAAAGCGAGTAGGAGATTGTGTCTCTGAAGCTGTACCTTGGGGAAAGGGCCCACCTGATTAGGCCAGGCCCACCTGGTATAATCTCCCTTTTGATGAACTCAACATCAACTGATTAGAAACCTAATTATGGGAGTGATATCCCGTTATATTCCTTAGTCTCACCCACACTAAAGGTGGAAGAATTCTTCAGGGGGTTGATCCTAGGGGGCAGGAGTCTTGGGCATCATCTTAGAATTCTGTCCACTATAAGCTCTTTCTTTTACTCTGATTATTACTTTTAAGTAGCATCTTTTCTTGTTCCATTATGCTCTTTCATGTTATATCTCAGATCTATTAATTACAGCTTTTTAGAACATTTTCTGCCATTAACTGTACTGTGTCTTTCCCCCCTGAGATCCATTAATTTTGTTTTTATCCTTTCTCAAATAATGGAGGCTTTCCTAGTACCTAGTATTTCCAAATACCTAGTATCTTTGTCTATCCATTCATGTTGAAGTGTGATAGACGTTCTGCATGCTTATGGGGCTTATGTGAAGTAAGGTCCTAGCTGTTTCGCTAGGTGATATCCAGCTGTCATTGTGAATACCCTCTTCCTCTTCCACATGTGGGGCTGTTCAGCTTCACCAGACAACCATCCTCCAGCCTCCTGCCCGGGGGGTAGATGCTAGACGTTGCACACTGGGGCAGTGGGGTAGGTGAAGGCAGCTTACTGCTCAGCTTGTTGGTTTTCAAGCTCACCCACTGCTTTTAGCTCCTGGCCTCATTGCCACCTTCCTTGTACCTCTAAGTTCCACGCGCTTGGAAACGGTCTGGTTAATTTCTTGACAGAGTAATTCTGCCATCTGCATGGGGTCACCTGACAGCCAGGAGAGAGGAAGGTGATCTAATTACTTCCATAAACACTTTCACCCAGTCCTCTTGTTTTCACTCCCATGCCTCATGCCCGCTCCAATGTCTCCAGGCATCTCTAATTGCCTAATTCATGCGAGGTTTCTGCAGGCACAGATCTGCTTGCGTCCTCCTGGTGTCTCCCTCTGCAGGCATCTGCAGCTCTGCTGGTGCTCTGCCAGGTCGGTCTCTGCTCCTCCGTCCCATCCCCTCCCCCCAGGTGACTCTTCTGTCGTCTCCTGAGTCTCCTTTCTCTCTTTGGAATTTTATACGATTTCATGACTTGTCCTCATTGTAAGGTTACTCAGAGTAAACCTGAATTCGTGCGTATTTTCAGTCCACTCTCTATTTTTAAAATGCTGCTTTCTCTTTTTAAATCACTGTAGAACAAGTTGGGAGACACAGCTTTGCATGCTGCTGCCTGGAAGGGTTATGCAGATATTGTCCAGTTGCTTCTGGAAAAAGGTAAAGCGTGTGCCCAGTTTATCCAGCCTTCGCGTACCCTGGAAAAATAGGCTACATTCAGTTACATTATTTGAAATAGTAGGAAGAATAATAGGCTCTGTGTTTTGAAAGTGGAGTTTTAACTTTCACTCTGTCTGTATCACAGGGTTGTTACAGTAAGCTGAAATTACAGAATTGTGGTGATTTGTGTGAAGTTTTTAGTTTTAAATTGAAAGCTTGGTAAGCTTTAAGATTACATCTATTCCTTTTAGAACTTGTTTATTGTATATTTCTGCAGGATTAAAGGGCCTTAGAAGAAAGGTGTGCGTGTGTGCGTGTGTTTGTGTGCATGCGTGTGCGGAGAAGATCCTATCTCAGAAAGCTGTATGGGTAAAGTTGCTGAGCCCCTTTTCACACAGGAAAGTCTTGATAGATAAGAACGCAAGCTGTAGCTATAACCTCCTACTTTGAGCTGAGCAGGTGCTAGATGTATGAAGAATGAGAAGATACCTCGATTCCCTATCTCTGTACAAGTCAGAGGGGACAGTGAAATTGTGGACTGACTATCCATCCATCCACTTGTCCTGCAGATATTAATTAAGCCTTACAGAGGGCCAGGCATATCCCCTATACTGTACCCTGGTCCAAAGGCTATAATACAAGTTGCTTGAGTCCCAAGGTGTCATATGGATGCACTGTCATTAGGGACCCTCAGAGCAATGTTGTGGGATATATGAAGGGAAATGTTACTAATTTAAAGTGTGTTGAGGACGTAAACCTCAGGTATAAAAAAGATCAGACAGCACGAGGACCACTGTAGCGCCCCCTAAAGGTTATGCCGAGAACTGCGCCGTACCGCTGGGGCTGCTGAGCTGGTGAAGCGAGCCCAGTCCAAACTGAGATGTGCTGCAAGTGTAAAATGCACATCGAATGTCAGAGACTTCGTGAAAAAAGATGTAAAGCATCACAACAATTCTTTTTATTTGTTTATTTATTTATTTATTTATTTATTTAAAGATTTTATTTATTTATTTGACAGAGCACAAGCAGGGGGAGCAGCAGAGGGAGAGGGAGAAGTAGGCTCTCCGCTGAGCAGGGAGCCCAATGTGGGGCTTGATCCCAGGACCCCGGGATCATGACCTGAGCCAGAGGCAGACGCTTAACCGCTGAGCCACCCAGGCGCCCCACAACAATTCTTATGTTGGTTCTATGATAGACCTGTCACATTTTGGGTATACTGGGTTAAAGAAAACGTATTATGAAAATAAATTCCTCTTTTTGAAAACATGGCCACTAGAAAATCTGAAATGACATATATGGCTCAAATTATATTTCTCTTGGGTAGCGCTGGTGGAGAGGGACACAGGAAATGGTTGTTTCTTCTCTTGCATTGCTGGCTCTGGACATTTCCTGTCCTGACAGAAATCATGTACATGAGTTCTAAAGTGTAATTTAATGTGAGATACGATTAGTCACAGAACTCTTAACCCTCAGGACTTTCTTTTTACCTGTAGCGCAAGGAGAGAATGAGGTTTCTATAGACCCTTCGCTATGGGTAGATCTAAACCTGCTCACGAGGGAGATTTTTATACACAATTGCCATATTCCTAATTAAACACACCAACCTTTCTTTACTCAAATATTTTTGTGCCTTTGAGTCTCATTACATTTATTTTTTTGTTTATGGAAGAGGATGTGGTTACAAAGAAAATGGCACTCTCTTATACTGTGGTAGAAAGTGTGAATTGGTAAAGCCTTCTTGGAAAGTAATCTGACAGTAGCTAGCAGAATTAAAAATGGACATATCCTCACATTCCAGCGTCACTTCTAGAAAACCACACATCAGAAAGATGTTGTTCAAGGAGGTTTACAGCAATATTGTTTGTGATAAAGGAACAGCCTAAGTGCCCCTCAATAGGGGGGTGATTAAATAAATTTTGCAGTGTCCACAAAATTGAATACTTACAAATGTTTAAATAGGTCGAGTTATAAGGATGTGTATTAATAAGGAATGGTATTAAGGAATACCATTATGTATTGTTAGGTTAAAAAAATCAATTCACAGACCAATATATGTGGTATGATTTTGTGTATATATACATATATGTCTGTGAATGCATTCATGCACCTGAGGGAGGTGAGGATTGATGCCTACTTGCTGGGAATGGTTTCCTGTGGACAAGCTAGAGGAAGGGGAAGGGAAGGGTTGAGTTGGGGGATGAAAAGGGACGTATGCTTCTGTTTAGCATACTTCTATATTTTTGAATCTTTAACAATGAAAATGGACTCATGAATTCTGATACAATTTTTACCACAGTGAAGATGAGGAAAAAAAGCAAGTTGAAGATGGGCTGCGGGAACAATGGATTGCCTCTAGGTTTTATTGTGTTACTCTTCTGCTAATTTGCACAGGAGTATACTTACAGATATAAAATATTAATACCCTCAGGCACAAGCCACGTGGTATTTTCTCAGGAAGCAACGGGTATATTACATTGAATCTCCAAAAACTGGTGCCAAGACATGTTGGAGTCTAACTGACTCAGGATTCACCTCCGGGAGAGTCAACTCCCCACTGAAAACTCACGTGTGGTATTCTGAGGACTTGAAAGGAAAGGCTATATTTTAATGGTGCCTAATTATCAGGAGTACAGCGGCAACTCCCTGATTAAAGATGCCAAGTGGGCTTTTACTGTTCTGAAAAAGCTGACTTCAGGGCCAGAGTGGTTCCCTAGTTAGTTTGGCCCAAAGTGATGAGTTTTGGTGGAAGGAAGATTGTCTGCTACTCTAGATTCTTCAGAAACACCTGATGTGCTTTTCTTGTATTGGGGGAAAGGTGCGAGAACAGACTTAAGAAACAATGAGAAGAAGCTGGCCCTGGACATGGCTACGAATGCCGCCTGCGCATCTCTCCTGAAAAAGAAACAGGGCACAGGTATTTGGCTTTAATTCTTCTTTCTCCTCTGGCACCATCATGACCAAGGTTTATCATCTTAGACCTGGGAAAAAAATTTTTCTCAGGAAACTCTTCATGTGGTTCTGAAGTACGTTTTATCTCCTTGGTCTAATTTGGAACGTTCACCATAGAAGAAATACCTTCATGCAAACAAGTCAAAGAGACATTGAGCTTTTAATATTTTTTGTATGTTCCCTTTGTTCCTTACAATTAAGTTGTAATCACCTTGCTTTCCAGTAGAGCGCTTATCAGAGAGCCATGGTCTCTGTATCCTCGTTTCAGATAAGTTTTTACCAGTGGTTATCTCTAAATATATTTTTCAATTAAGCACTGAAGAGCTCCAGGGTTATATTTTATTTCTGTTTTAAATGGGAGTATCAGTAAACTATAATCAGAATTATTCTAGCCTTGGTAAACAATTTGATGTTTACTTATAGATTCTGGGGTGGTTTTTAAAGGTAAAGTTTAGGTATACATCCTTAAAGATAAAAATATCTGTTGGTGTGGGAGAATAGGTTTGAAAGAAAAAAATGAAAAGTTTGTGTGGTTGTTTTGAAAAGGTGTTAAAGAAAAGGTGTTAAACGCATTTACATCCTTCATGATTACTATTCAGAGACTGGCTGTTTATTGGACCTCTCAGTGTGTAACCTGAATGAGTGATTCCCTTTGAAAGAAATGCTGGGAGGGGGTGCTTTAACCCTTCTTCCCATTCCCCTGTCCTGTCTCTCCCTTTGATCCGCATCAGCCTCCTGGCCCACGAGGAACCCAGAGGTAGAAAAAAGAAAAGTAGGAGGTGATTTGGTTGGAGGGCACATTCAATCTCCCCCTCTCCCCGCAAGGCTTATTCTATTTTTATCTTATGTTTGGCACTCTAAAGCCACTTTGAAGGAGAAGCCAATGATTGATACATCTTTTCCACCATTTTCTAGAATGGAAACCAGTATAACGGAGAACTCCCTTTTCATAAGTCTTTATTTAGCATTGCTACTCATCATTCCAACCCTTCTTAGTATTGCTTTAGAGTCTAAAGTTTAGACTGATCCATGCTGGTGGAGAACCACCGAAACAACTTTTGAGACATTTCCAGTATTGAGGCTAAGTGCATTTGTTTCCATTTTAAGCTGAGGGTAATATCACTCTCAGAGTTCTGAGTTTGTGTAATAAGGTACTGATTTCTGTTTTCATCATTTGACTTACATTCCCATTAATTTTTGAACCCTTGGAAAGCTTTTCTCTTCCTTAGCTAAGTACCTTTTGTTTTATGAGAAGAGGCAATGTTATTTTTTCCTGTAGCCCAGTTCCAGCAGAAGCAACAAAATAAAGTCAGTCCCCTGGTTTCCTACTTTAGTCAATCAAAAATAGCAAACAGTCCCTCTCTCGTCATGACTCACCAAGGGAGCTGCCCAGAATTATCCTCCTTGTCCATCACCAGATCCTCATCATAGCCCTCCTCACGATTCTGCTGTTCCTTTTATTCTTTACTCCAGATAGGTCTTTGTTCCAGATTTTTATTTCTTTTAACTTCAGTTCAGATATAGTGTAAACCGGGGCACCTGGGTGGCTCAGATGGTTAAGTGTCTGCCTTCAGCTCAGGTCATGATCCCAGGGTCCTGGGTTCCCAGGGTCCTCCACGGGAAGCCTGCTTCTCCCTCTCCCACTCCCTCTGCTTGTGTTCCCTCTTTCACTGTGTCTCTCTCTGTCAAATAAATAAATAAAATCTTAAAAAAAAAAACAACACAGATATAGTGTAAACCATTAAACCATTAAGCAGCTTGGGTTCCTTAATTATTTAAGCCATGAATGCTCCCTGGTAGGCTGGTGTTTCTGCAAAGTAATTACTCATGCATAGATGGATTGAGGGTCTGATACACGCATGAGAAAATATTTACCAGCTGAGTGGTGCTCCCTAGCAATCCTACATTTTGATTGAGAAGCCATATATGTAGCTATGAGGGAGAGATACTTTTACTTGGTATGTATCTCCACCTTCCTGCTGCCTTGGTTGGTTCCGGAAGTCGGACTATGGCCTAACTTCCTTTTTCTGCCACTGACTTCCTGTTGCTGTATAGGTCCCTTCAGAATGTCCTTAACATGGAGTAGGACTTCTTATGAGCTGAAGGTTTTCAGAGACTCATGTATACTATAAGCTTGATCATGGTAGACAAGGAAAATACCACACTTGCCTCAGACCCCAGAGAGCTGTACCCAGAACCCTCCACATGAGCAGTAGGAGCTGGGGGAGGCAGGTGGCAAACTGTTCTTTTTCCACTCACCTTTCTACAGTCTTTGTAGAATAGAGCTGGGAGGTAGGTCTCTTTTTCTCTGTTCATGCTCAGTGTCTTTAGTCTACTTTCCTAAATTTGTGTTGATTAGATAATGGACTTGTTAATGAGGTAATCATTAATTACCTGGGGGCTTGGCACACGGAGGCAAGAAATGAATTTTCATATTTCAGTTTTCATGTTACCTTTTTTCCTCTCTTTTTTCTTGCTTCATTCCGCAGTCGTCCAGTAAAATGTTTCAATTTGTATTGTGATCCTAGTTGGAATCAGTTGAATATTGGGCCATATAGCTAATTATCAGCACAAACTCTGCCTGGAAAAAGTATATTCTGATGTTGTTGCCCACTTTTAAAAGCACGTCTTGGATTTTTTATAGAGAAAAAAACAAGTCACATTTTGTAGTTACCTTGAAGGATAACTTTGGGATATGAGTTTGGGGCCAGGGTTCAGCCCCACCTTGAGGGTTCCACCCTTTAAATTCTTTTTCCAGTTTTTACAAATTGGGGTATAATTTATATTAATTATATATATAAATCCTAAGTTTACATCTTGATGTGTGTGTGTTTTTTTTTTAACTGTGCTCCCACCTGCCACAACCCAGATCAAGGTAGAGAACATTTTCCCTACCCCAGGAGCCCCCTCCATATCCTCCCCTGCTCTCACCATAGACTGGTTTTGCCTGTGCTTGAACTTTGATATAAATGGAATCAAACAGTATGTACTTTTTTGTGTCTAACTTCTTTTCACTTAATACTCTGTCTGTGAGATGTATTCAGGTGACTGTGTCTGTCTTTCTACCATTTATTTATTGTTTGTCTTAAGTGCTGGTGGTTGATTTGGAATGTGCAAATCCAGGTCAGTGACACTGAGGAGAAATGGAAGTGAGGTAGGGGAGAAGGGGATGCACCGCTAGGAGATACATTATTATAATGGCCATGGCCCAGGATGAGCTGTGAAGAGCTATAGCACCTCAGCACTTGGCCATGTGAGAAGTTTCCAGAGAAGCTGTGCCTGAGAGCAATCCATGAAAGGAAGAAAGGAGAAGGAATTTATTTGCCTGGATCATTCCTGTCTCTTGATTTCCTCTCAGCAAAGGTTGCACCATGGCGAGTCATCTCCTGGCAACAGGAGAAACGAGGTTGAAATAAGGGGCAGAAGAGGCCATGGAAGGACAAAGAATATCTCAAATGGCAAAACATAGGATCGTAGTAACAAAGTAGAGTAGGAAAGAGCTTTGCTATTGTCTTTTTGTCTTTGGCTCAAAAAGCTGCTTTTCCTAAGTTTACAGCCAGTCCTGAAGTTCATGGGTGTGTGTGGGATAGGACAAAATATATTCCGCCCAGGTCTCCAGAATTCTCATAAGGAGTATGGACACGAATACAGACAACCTGGAGACTTCTAGGAGTTTGGAAGCTGCTGTGAAATCATTGAAGTTTGCCTCTGTTCTGCTTATATCCATTTGTTCTTTCATCTTTCCTTCTCGTAGAAGATAAATCCATTTCTACCTCCCTTGTACCGACTCTCCCTGTCCCTTCCTTTTTCTCAATAATTCTAAATTTGTAAAGATAATGACTGAAAAAACTATAGTATCATCAGCATACGTAAAATTAATAATGCCTTCATATCATCAAATAAATCTTGTCATTGTCAAATGCCCTTTTTTCTCATACATGTTTGTTTATGCTTTGTTTACTTATCTATCTGTTTACTTACTTGTTTATAGTTTAAGTCAGGGTCTGAATGAGGTCAGGCTCTGATTGGTAGATATATCTCTTAAATCATTGCTTCCTCTCTCTCTCCCTTGCTAGCCTGGCGATTTACTTATTAAAGAAGCTGGGTCAGTTTTCCTGAATTTCCCAGTCTAGACATTGCGTATGTGCATCCCCATGGTGCTGTTTGTCATGTTCCTCTTTCCTCTGTGTTTTTGTCAGTTGGTGTTAGATCTAGAGCTTTGATTAGATTTTACCTTTTATCTATCTATAAGGGGTAGAGGGAAAAATATTTCATGAAGAAAGTTGTGTTGTTTCATCAGAGGCACAGAATATCTGTTTGTCACTTGTCCTGTGACTTTAGCATTCATTGATAATCATTGTCTAGATCCACTATTTCATGAACAGTTGCAAAATGGTGATATTTGAATTCTGTCAGTTCTTTCTCAGTTATTAGCCAGGAACATTCTGTAAAAAAAAAAAATTTCCTTTCATCCATGGTTTGATTACTCAGAGGTAATAGTTTGTCCAGTAGGGGCAGAATAAAGGCTTGATTTTTGTCCTTTGTTAATGAGTTTTCAGAATAAGGTACAGGTTCCCTATTATTCTCCAAAGAGGACTGGTGAATTCTCTTTGGTGTGTGTTGAAATATGTGCTGTGTTTCAATCCATTATATTTAATATCCTTATTTTTTTTTTAAAGATTTTATTTATTTATTTGACAGAGAGAGAGAGAGCGTGAACACAAGCAGGGGAAGCTGCAGAGGGAGAAGGAGAAGCAGGCTCCCCGCTGAGCAGGGAGCCCGATATGGGGCTCGATCCCAGGACCCTGAGGTCATGACCTGAGCCGAAGGCAGACACTTAACCGACTGAGCCACCCAGGCGCCCCTAGTGTCCTTATTGATAGTCCCTCTTTGGCTAGTGGAGGCCTCTTCAGGTTGGACCGTGAATCTTTTTAAATGACGCTCTCTCTGATAGCATCCTTGTTTTATGGTATGACAAGCGGTTCCAGGTACATCTTTTACATTTTCTGCCCCAGACTTGGAATCAGTCATATCTCCAGTGAGCACAGGGATATAGTATTTAGAGACCATGGTAATATACATTTATTAAGCTTTAACCGTGCTTATAACTTGGATTTCAGTTTCCCCCCTAAAATGATGCTTCACGTAACCTGTTGCTATTATAGGCATTTAACTAGACAGTTGAATAGGTGAACAGTTAAAGATCAGATGCCTTCGGGGCACCTGGGTGGCTCAGTCGTTAAGCGTCTGCCTTCGGCTCAGGTCATGATCCGAGGGTCCTGGGATCGAGCCCCGCATTGGGCTCCCTGCCCGGCGGGAAGCCTGCTTCTCCCTCTCCCACTCCCCCTGCTTAAAGGAAAAAAAAAAAAAAAAAAGATCAGATGCCTTCTTTTTGAACCCTGTTCAAGCCTGATTTAACATATGCTGGGGTTCGGTTCTTTCCGTTTCACACTTTATTTCATTGCCTTCAGGGAAGGCCGCGCAGGCTGTCGACCGAAGCCACGTGCGTGTACTTGACACTGGGAGAGGAGATTGGAAGTACAGTGCTCAGAGTGGAGGGCCTTCCCATGTGTTCCATGCTGGTCATGGTGCATGGGGCTGGTTGCGTTTTGTGCAGGAGAGATTAATGGTTCCTTAGCACCATGTGCTTTATTTCATTTCATTTATTTATTTATTTAGTTTTGCATGTCTAGAGAACGTGCAGACAGCTGTATTTGTCAGCCTCTGTGGCAACAAATACTGAGCAGCTAGGCAGGAAAGCAAAAGTTGAAGATCCTTGGGGGAAGTACTATCCCAGGGTCTGAGGAAAGATTACAGTTTGTTGAGCTATCAGGAGCTCTGAAAGTGAAAACAAAATCTGAGCAATTTGTAATTTCTCTGTTTTGCTCTCCCTCCCCTGCCCCCATTCCGTTTAGATGCTGTTCGAACATTAAGCAATGCCGAGGAGTATCTTGATGATGAAGACTCCGATTAATTCCCTTCTGGAGCTTTGAGAGCTAAAACATCTGTTGTTTTTGCTATTCCAAAACCTTTGTCTTTGCCAGAAGAGTGTTGGTAACTGTTTTTTGTCTTTTTTTTAAGTCTTTATGAACATGGGAGTATTGCACTGTGTTTGAGTAGAACGTGTAAATGGGTAGGTTTTCACCTTCAGTTTGCCAATAAGTGACTGGATACTTTGCTGTATAAAGTACATTTTTGTTCACTAGAGTAGAACAAGAAGAGATTATTTCTATTTATCAAGTTAAAGGAATTAAAAAAGTTTTTTTCTTTAAAAAAATCAGAATGTTTTTTTTTTGTTTTGTTTTGTTTTTTTAGTTCTTTACCTCAAGGATTGAAATATTTTGGATGGATTTTTCAAGGGGAAAATGCTTGTTATAATAATGAACCAAAAGACTTAACAGAAAATCGTCAGCTATTCTGACAAAAATAAACATTTTAAGAGACTGTGTTCCTTTTGTCTGTTTTTGTGGTATCACTATTTGCTGGTAAATAAAGCTCTTTATATTTAGGTAAAGGCTGATTTTATTTTTTAAGTTGTATTTCATATTCATTAGCACAGAGGAATCGTAATAGCCACATTTCTATCCAACTTTATATATTTGCTTTTATTAAAGTCAAGACAATAATCATTGAGAAGATGCATTTATAATGAAATATATAACTTCAGTAATTATTAGACTTTCAGTTTTATCTCTAAGGTTATACATAGTGTGAAGAAATCCAACAACCCATTACAGTCTGCTTATGGTCTGAAAGATTTAAAAAACTGATTTCCTTATCATGGAAGATGTCATCGTTTTCTATAATGGAGTAGCCAGGAGCCATGAAATTTTTTTGTGTTCAGCTTTTTACTTTGATAGCATTTGTTTTCCCAGAGCATAGCTCTAGCTTGTAACAATTCAAATTCTTTTGCTAAAACATCAATTAATATTGCAGGGAGCCTTCTGTAATACTGAAGTGACCCACGATTCAAGATTCCAATTCTAATTTTGTCATCGCTGTTGGCATTTGCCTAGATTCCAGGCCCTCGTCTCAGAACCATATTTTGTAAGAAGACTTCGATGCTAATTTCAAAAAACACACTGGTGCAGAGAAGAAAATGTTTGAAGAAGGAAGTGGGTTAGCTCAGGAAATGAATAACTGCCACCGTAAGAGTTTTCTGTCTGTGAATGCTTTTTTTTCCTTTGTGGGTGCCTTGAGGAAGGGTGTCCTGAGAAGCCTGTTCGAGGGCTTTCTGATACCCCAATCGAATTTTAATAGAAAGAAGTCTGTATAAGTAGCGACAGCAGGGGATGAGCACAAAATCTGAAATCGATATCCTCAAAATAAATACATTTACAAAACTTGAGTTAAGCATTTGTATTTCTTCATAAGCATAAACTTTATGAAGTTATGAAATCCTTGTTGAAACTACATATTTCTGAACCACAGAACCTTTAAGGATTCATTTTTTATTTTATTTTATTTTTTTTAAAGATTTTATTTATTTATTTGACAGAGACACAGTGAGAGCAGGAACACAAGCAGGGGGAGTGGGAGAGGGAGAATCAGGCTTCCTGCCGAGCAGGGAGCCCAATGTGGGGCTCGATCCCAGGACCCTGGGATCATGACCTGAGCTGAAGACAGACGCTTAACGACTGAGCCACTCAGGCGCCCCTAATTTTTTTTTTAGAGGGGGAGAGCACGAGCGGGGGGCAGGGAGGAGCAAAGGGAGAGAGAGAATCTTAAGCAGGCTCCATGCTCAGCGCAGAGCCCCACACAGGGCTCGATCTCATGACCCTGAGATCATAACCTGAGTTGAAATCAAGAGTCAGATGCCCAACTGACTGAGCCACCCAGGCGCCCCTAGGGTTCATTCTTTAAAATGGGGTTTGTGTGGGGCTCCTGGCTGGCTCAGTTGGAAAAGTGTGACTCTTGATCTTGGGGTTGTAAGTTTGAGCCCCACATTGGGTGTCAAGATTGCTTAAAAATAAAATCTTTAAAATGAAATGATAAAATAAAATACGGGGTTTGTGCCTTAACAAAAAGCTTTTGGAAATCTCTGACTTTTTGTTCTTGCGTACTTTGGGCCTGGGGTGATTAGAATAGGTGCCAACAAAACACTTTTAATTTTTTCACATGGGCAGAGATAATAACAGTTTGCATGAATATAGATAATTTTTATGAAAATGCCTTGTGCTCGATGTGGGCATTTTATTTATGTCCTTGAGGAAAAGAAGAGTGAGTGGCTTCACCGACATTGCTTTTAACATTATTGAGATTATGAAGATTCTAGAAAGTTGGCCAACCAGAATTCTTGGGGGTGGAGGGTGGACTTAGGTATATGCATGAATTGCTGGTGAAACAAAATTTGGTGAAACAAAAAAAGGACAGTGCATTTTGCTGTGGTTGAAACTCCATGGGAAAATTGACTTTTGGTGCTTGTTTATTCAGCCTTGCCGATCTGAGCTTTTTCAGAGATGTTGAATGCTGAACTCAGCAACAAAAATCAGTTCTAAGAACGTGTCACCCTTCTTGATTCTGTGCAGTGGAGAGCTTTGATTATGTTCTGGAAATGACTTTGGATACCTGAGCTTTCTGACAGTCCCTGTGGCCTGAACTCCTTCCCAGTGCATTGTGTGCTTTAGATAGAAAATGGCTCTCAGCCCATGGGGTGGTGAGATGGACTAGCTTTAGGCCCAGTAGCCTCATGCAAAGATCAGCTTTTATCAGTTTCCCATTTTAGTTTCCTTTCTGGGACTGGTCTGTGGCAAATTATTTGAGCTGCTATGCATTCCATTTGTCAATTTCTGTATTTCTCTGGTGAGCCCCCCCCCCAGTTGTTTTATTTTTTTCAATAGCGTGGCCATGTTGTCACCCAAAAGGAAATGTTGAACAAAGCAGTAGTGACCCTCTTTTTTCTTAATCTTAAAAACCAAATTGGAAATAATGCTGAAAACGAAATCTCAGATAATTTTAGGTAGAGGAAAATAAAATTTTTCCATGTAAGCTTCCTTCGTAAGGGTTCTTTATTGTGTAGAATTTCTGATTTACTGGTATTTCTTCTTAGTGTGAGCCCTGTGCTTTTTATCTCTGTAAAGGATGATTTCTTCTCTGATAGGCTGTATGGAGCCCAACACATTAGCATTTCCCTGTTGGTTTGATTTTGTGCTTGTTCTCCCGAATTTTATGTTGTAAATATGTTTGTAGCAGGAATACACAGAGAGCCATACATTGCATAGCCAAACTTTGAAGTCTCTGCTGAAAGTTGAGGTTTTGTGGGGGGGTGGCGGGGGGAGAAGTATTGCAAAAGATTCTATTCTCCCTATTTTAACTGAAAATACAGCTTTGGTGAAGTTTTCTCAAGTGAAAGAAAAATTGCAGACCACAAATTTATGGTTGCTTTCCCCTTATTTCGTAATAACAAGCCTTTACATCTGCCCGTCCCTTAAAATGACATAAAATTAAATAAAACTACCATTTATTAAGTGCCTACCCTGCCAGTTCCTATGCCAGGCAGTTTCATAGACATGATGTCATTTGATCTTTACAGCAACCCTGGGCGGTGAACATTAATGCCCCTATCTTTTTACAGAAAGGCTGACGTTTGAAGAAGTTAACTAACTAGCTCAAGGTCACACTGGTTGAAGATGGAAGTGCAGGTCTGGCCAACTCCTGAGCTAATGCACCTGCAGCCTACTGCACCTGGCAGACGATGCCATTCATGTTCAGCTAGAAAAATATGCAAAAACAAACCAGCTCCTTTTCAACTCAAGCTCTGGGTGTAGCATCTAATAAATTCAGCATATCTGCGAATTTACTTAAATGTGTTATGTAAACCAACCCTAAGAGCTTTTTTCTTTCTTTTTTTAAAGGATTTCCCCCTCCACATCCCCCCCCCCCGAAAAATTTTGGTAAAACTTTTTGGTTCCCAGTAACCCTGAAGAAATACAATTTAATGAACAAGTTTCCAAATTTTCCTGTCTATGCAATAACTATAAATAAGTGCAAAAGAAGGAAAGCCTCAACTAGCAGCTAATCACCTTGCTCGGAGTTTGTACTGCTAACTTCAGCATTTCCCTCAGATGGTCCAAGAGCTCCTGACATAGTTCCATGTAATCATAAAAAGAACTGTGTGCCTGGGAAGGGTCAGAGAATATTGTCTTACCGAAGTCTGGGAGCTTGCATGGACGTGTCGGTTACCTCCCACTTCCCAGGGAGTTCTACTGTTGTCTCCTGCCAGTGGCCATCTGCTTGGGGCTCCCATCAGGCTCAGCCTTCCACCTACACTCCACTGTTGCCAACTGGGGGCTGGGGTGAGGTCAGGTTCCTGGCTGTGGCTGAAAAGGAAAACGGAAGAAATCCAAAAGTACAAGTTCGAAAGCCCGAGAGGGAGCAGGAAGGAAAGTGGGAGAAGAGCCAAGGAGGAAAGAGGGCAAACAGCAAAGGAGAAATGGCGACCTCCTCTTAGTTACACATGGTCCTGATATAAAAGCCTAATGCTTCAAGAAGTGCCTAAGAGTTTGGGCTTTGGGGAGGAACTCTCTGGATTGGTCTGGCTTTGCTGCTCATTGCTGAGTGACCTTGGACAGTTTACCTAAAACATTCAGATTCATAAGCTGTAACACGGGTAAGTAATAGTATCTATTGGTTGAAGTTAAGAGGATTAAATTAAGTGATCTACGTAAATGACTTAAGATAGTGGCTGGCAAAGTGATTGCCTCATAAGCATTGCCTATGCCCATAAGCCTAAAGGAGGACGTTTTCATTAAATAAATGTGTGTGTATGAAGGGTGGGTCAAACATGTTTTTTTAAAGACCTAGCCATCATTGTGAGATTTCCTAAAATACATTAAAAGTGAATAGAGGACAGTGATATTCCCTTCCAGTCATTTAGGTATGTTTACATGTGGTAGAGCGTTTTTCAATATAAATTTACTTATTGGGGCGCCTGGGTGGCTCAGTAGGTTAAGGGTCTGCCTTCGGCTCGGGTCATGATCCCCGGGTCCTGGGATCGAGCCTTGCCTCGGGCTCCCTGCTCAGTGGGGAGGGTGCTTCTCCCTCTCCCACTTCCCCTGCTTGTGTTCCCTCTCTGTCAAATAAATAAAATCTTTTAAAAAAATTAAAAAAATAAATTTACGTATCGAGAGTTACAGGGAGAGGTATATAACTGAAAAAGACGTTGTTATTATTACTATTATTAAAATAATTCACAGGTCAAGTGGGGAGAATGTTGGCCACCGATTCAGTTCTATGTTGTTGCTCTGGAATAGTTTGATGGGCTCTAAAGACCATGGGTCTAATATTTGGTATGTGATGATTGCAAATTGGAAAGATTTCAAATTGCCCTCACATGTCTTCAAAATAGAAACAATCCATCTTTTCAAATGGATCAGCTTTGTAACTTCATACATTTCCCCGACAAGGTCTAAGCTTCAAGACTTGGGTCTGCCAGTGTTAATGACACTGACAAGAATCTAAGACATTGGAAGGGTCATACAGTCCTCCCTCACTTTGACCAAGAAGGCTATCGGG